AGCGTCCAAACTACATAGCAAAAGTCATCGCTTTGTAGGTCATGCGGGCTCCTGCTTAACAAGGTTTTCAACCATGCCATTCCTGTTCTGTGACTTCAACAACGTCTGCAACTATGCATCTCGAAACGACAAATCTTATTGGCTCTCAACAACAGCTCCAATACCAATGATGCCGGTGAGCGAGGAAGACATCGAGCCCTACATTTCCAGGTTATTTTCCCGCCTCAGCGCTTCCCCCATATTTAATTCAATTTTTTATACGTATTTTTAAGGCTTGACAAGCTGCTTGACCTTCTAAAACTTCCTAGATTCTTTCACCCTGTTTTTACACCTTTGCCGTTGTTTTTTTGTTGCGCCCTATTGGGCCAAGGATAGGCAGCTTCCCCATGATTTTTGGGGCTGATGCAGCATCCTCAGGTGGCTAACTTTCTGGTGATACTGACTTCTGTTTTCCCCTCTCTTTTCTGATCCAAAGAGGGTGGGGGAGGGGGTAGGTGTTTGTTGTAATCTATTTACACCTAATGTTGCCTCTTGACTTATTGAGTAATTTTGCCCCGAATCGGGATAAATGGCTTGAATTTCAGGTGCGCTGTATGCGAAGCACCAGCAAACGTTATTGCAGTACATTCGCAGACCATACAAATACCAAATTGTCCGAATGGGTGGAATTCGCTCTGGATTGGTTATTCGTTTGCCATGCACACCGGTGCTGGTGCCGAAGGCGGTGGCCAGTCGTTAAGGTTCCTTTTCAATATTTACACTGATTTCGTATTGGAAAATTTGGCTTTGTCGATTTTGGGTACGAAAAAATGAGTTTACTACGAATTTTCCTAGGAGGAACAGCTGAAATATTAGAGGCAAAGATAAGAGATCGGTCTAAATATCATGTGTTATGAAGAAACAGTGAATTTTTGAGCAAAGCGAAAACTTACCAAAAATGCAACTTGTTGTCAAACTAAATGAGCGAAAATACGAGTGACGGCCGCGAATCAACGTCGAAAATTGCGTCAGCATCAAAGAAAATACAGGCGAGAGATATAATGTCAGGGGAAGTACGATCGGAGTATAGGCGGTAACGTCAACAAAAATGCAGTCGTGGTACAGGCTGGAGATATTGTTCGAAATAAAATCGTGAATAGAATGCCATCGTTCGTCTTCGGAAGATGAGCTTAGAAAACTGCGTGGAGAATACCGACGCTCAGACCCTGTCTGAAAATAAGAATTCCTCCGTAACTCCCTAGGACTCGTCCTACGCTCCGTCAAGGCCAATCACCGACACATCCCTTGCAACGCAGCCGCGCCAGTTCGCCATCAATCA